GTCAGATCTGAACTAGAGCGCTCTCGACTCATCATCGCTAACTTTAAGCTCACCTCCTTCCCACCTTTCTGCTGAACTCCTTGTGCATTTGACACCCTTTGGAAGGCGGGCCGAAATTCTTCCGCCTTTTCCCCTGGAGGAGTCCCTTTCTCATCTTTACTGGCCTTAAAGCACATGGAATTGAGGCTGTTGATTCACCGGCTCTCCTTCAGTTGTGACTAAAACTTGCTGGTTTTAAATTGCTTTTGTTGGCCTTGAAATCTTTTCTCCTCGGTCAGGGATGCGTCTCCTTGGGGGGTGGGGAGTCATTCCACTAGGGGAAGGTGCCACGACTCTAGTTCCCATCATCCACCACCCTTTCTCCCTCAGTTGCGTGAGACCTAGAAGGTGCGTGAGTGGGCAAGCTTCTAACCTTAGATTTCCAGTTCCTCCCTTATTTGGGCTTAAATACTCTTTGGCTGTGTACTTTATGCCTTGCACACCAGCCTGACCAGGTAGGACAGCCAAAGAATAAAAATTGCAAACATAGCCCTTGTGGCTAAGACATTCACACCCTTGTCCCCGAGAATCACACTTGGGTAAAATACAAAAGGCTTACTTAAAAAGAGTAAAAAGTTATAAAACAAAAGAAATGCAAAAACATACAAATTGTACTGGTTCAATGCCAAGCACCTAAGTACTGTATTAAATAAGCCACTGCCAGTCTTTCCCAAAGTCTCCTCTTCCCGGGCTGGCAAGCACTTAGAAGGGAATGCCACGTTTATCAGTCATGAGATTTGATCTTGGCTCTTCTCCTCCAAACAACACAAGCCAAGATGGAAACGCCTGGGGGGGGGCAGGCTCTGTACTACAAAACCCATATTCTCACATCCTCCACTGCCAGTTTTATCTTGGTTTGACATCCCGCTACCTTAGCCATGACTCGGTTGTATTACAGTTGTCCTTTACCTTATTTTTTAAGCTGACTTTACATCCACAAATGCTCACATGTGGTATTATGTTTCTCCCCCCCCCCCATGGTCTGTAAAGGTCTCACCTGTTTTTATTTTATTTCATATCGACCCCGGGGCTCCCCTTGATTTTAAGGGATATACAATTCGCTGTTGCCAGTCCAAAACTCAAGAAATAAACACCCTCTTCTCTCCCCTTGTAAACCGTAGGTCAATCGGCTGATACTCTCGGTGACCTGGATGTCTTTTACACGGTGGAAGGAGAAGAAGTCTGCCAGTGTTCAAACACCGGAGAAGCCTACGATAAAATCGGTGGGTGCCTTGATTTCAGGGCTGAGTTGAGGTCCTTTTCGTTGGCTTGCTTTGGATACAATTCCGTTCAATTACATTAGGCCACTTTTCACCCGAAGGAGATTTCACCCATTAAAACAACACAGACCTCTTTGTTTCGGTTTCTTTGTTTTTCAGTCTGCACGAGTGATTTTTATTTTTTTTAAAGCCGCTGACACCATCTGCGAATCCCCGGATGTAAACTGCTGTTACAAGAATAAAATGGAACTCTAAAAATCAAAACCAAACCAGAAAAGCAAAATGAAATGGTAGACAAACAAAAAGGAAGGGAGGGAGGGAGGAAATAAGGAAATCCTCAAGCATTGCCTGACATGAAAAAGAGAAAGAGAGATTTTCCAAAGCCAGGGTCAAGGAAGGCAGAAAGGAAGGAAGGACTGGAAGGGCTCTTATTCCACTGGAAGGGAACGACCCAGCCAGCCAACGGCCAGGTTGATGTTTGCAGTGGCTCCAGTTTCAGGATCTAGTGGAAACATGGCAGTTTTGTCTGCAGGTGAGACATCCCACGGACACGAGCCACGAGCAAAGGCGAGAGAGGGCAAGGCAGGAATAAGAACGGGCAGTCCGATCAGGGAGCTGCCATTCAGAGCAGCCCGAAAAGAAGGAAATCAGGGCAGAGCCGCAGGACAAAAATGTCCCTTGTGAGCTCAAGGAGGGAGAGGGTCTTCTATGGAAACCCGGAGGTTATTGAGATGTGGCTTCTAGGCCAGGCGAGCGAGCCTTGGTGGGAAGACGAAGACCAAGAGTTTGGACATGATCTATCTGTCATGCCTCGACCTTCCTGGGCATCAAGGGAACCAAGCAGGGTCATAATAACATGAGCCTTGGGATGGCAGAGCGGGAAGGAGACCCTCTGGATCCTTCCCAAGGAGGTCCCGCCAAGCCTCCTGGTCTTCCTGCCGGTGGCCGTTCCTTCTCTGCCTTCCCTTCTGCATGGGCAAAATCGCGGCATTCCAACGTCCAGTTCCCTCCCCTAATTTTGTGCAGATTGGGTTGGGGGGGAGAAGAGTTCCCACCCCCAAGAAATAAAAGTTTAGAACCGCTGTTTTTCTCATGGGAAGAAAACACCGGGAGAAGCTGAGAATACTTTGGGAATCTCTACGGATTGTCCCACCCCCAGCCCGAGTTTGGGAATCAGCTCTTTTGTACAGGCTACAATCTTTGGGGGGGGGGTTCAAGGGGCACCGAAGGAGGCGGCTTGAAGAAGGGAGTTCCAGTAGAAGCCGCGGGATCTAGTGGATTTTAGGATGGGATCCTGAGCTATGAGGGGTGCCAGTCTTGTACATGAAGGGTCTGGAGGCTTTTTCACCGAAATCACCCACATGGTTGGGGTTTCTCTGTCTCACATCCTTTTTTTTTTTTTTAAACTGTTCAGCAGCGTTGGCTGAATACTTACTGGAGGACCAACAGGAGCAGCCCGTGGAAGAGATTTTTGGTAAGCCAGGTTGTGGATTTCGGGGTCAGTTATTTGGGTCTGTGAGGCTGAATCCAGGGGGACACCGTTCAGCCGCATGAGACACCGTGGGACCTGTGCAAGGAGCGTTGCCCTGATTTTGAAGACCTCTCGTTTATTGGTGTGATTCTTAAATGCACTGCTTGGAAAAGTTAGGTTCCTGGACTGCAGATACCACAATCCCCCAGCCTGCATGTGGATGCTGGCATCTGCAGTGAAAAAGCATAACTTTCAGGGTTTCTGCTTCCATCCAAAGAGTTCTCACTGGACTATCCCCGCTTTAATGGATAGGATGGAGCTGTTATTTGGATTTAAAACCCGGGAGAATCTTCCTGAAATCTCACCTTCTCTCCCCCCCCCCTTCAGACTTGTTATCCACCTTGAATTTGCAAGCTCCTTGCGGACGGAGCCCTCTTTCCCCTCTCGTTCAGAGTTTCTGGGGACCAAAGCAAGCAGCCAGCCAAGAGGGAAGACAGGGCTGGGGAGGGGGAGGCAGCTGCCCAAGGCAACCCCCTAAATTGTTTCTTTTTCTTTTTCCTGCACTGTTCCCCCCAATCCCTGTTTTTTTTTGGGGGGGTGTCTCTTTGCAAATCATGGTTTTGATCCAGTTCATAAACAGCAATCTTTTAATTTTCTTTTTTTTAAAAAAAAATCCACCACCAAACAGGAAGCCTAGTTTCGGAAGAGACCGTTACCGAATGCACCGGTGGCTGCGGTGGCTGCGGTGGCTGCACGGAGGGAAAGAGGCGGCCCAGTAAGTGCAAAGCAAGCAGGAAGTGGGGGGGCAGTTGCTGAGGGTTGGGGGGCTGCGACCGCCAAGAGGAAGGATGGAAACCCATTGGCCGGGCCTTGATTTATTTTGGGCTTCCTTTCTTTTTCACTCGAAAAGTATTTCTAGCCTGCCTGGTGCAAATAGCAGGCAAACTCCCCCGAAGGTTTCCTTCTTCTTTTGCCTCTTTCTCTCCTGCCTCGTCGTCACGTCTCCTGGCTTGACATGCAGCGTTTGCAAACCACGAGGTTCCAAACTCTTTCCAGCCTTCTTTGGTTCTTATCCTGTTCTTCAACAATAACATTTCCTGCACCTGCCCAGAGGAACCCTGGATCAGATGGGAGGTTTAAGAGCAGGTGGCTGGGTGGGTGGAGGGAGGGAGTGGAGGGGGAAAAGCTGCAAAGTAGGATTTAATTTGGCATATCCCTCTTCCTCTTCTTCCTCCATGGGGTTCCTCCAGAACCTAGAAAAGCTCCTTTTTCCGCATTGCCCGTTGGTCTAGTGGCCAGAGAAGTCTGGATATTGCAAAGCAAAGATGTTGCAAACGCTGGTCTTTTTCTCCTTTCAGTTTCTTTCCTCTCATATTGGTTTCTGCTGCGAAACCCTCTCTATGCTTAATTCATGTCTCCCCATGAGCCCAGCGCTTGAGAGGGATCGCATCCTTCTACGACTGGGGGTGGGGGAGTTTGGAAGGTCCGGAGGTCCATGTCCCACCCTCAGGACCACCAGGAGCCAAGCCCAAAGGCGAGGAAAGAGCATTCCGAAATTCTGCTTCAGAGTTTATTCTCAGTTGTTGCTGTTTTTTCATGGGGGGGTCTAGTGACTCCTGCATCCCGTTTTATACAAAGACACCACTTGCGGGGGCTTTCGGGACCAAAAATTATTCCCCCCCCAGCCGGTCTTTGATCCGGGGTGACAGCGGGCCACAGGCACCCAAGCAAACCCTTCATCTCTTTTCTGTCCACCTTACAGGCAGCTGTTCTGATGGTCCAGAAGCCAAACGCAGGAAAGTTATTGGTGAGTAATTGCATTTCTCCTGGACGTTTTCTCTTTCCCCAGGGACAGTGGCTTCCGTGGCGTCCAGTCTGACAAACATCTAATGTTCCTTTTAACTGGGCTTCGTACTTCCTCCTTCTTGAACAGCATTTTCTCCTGCGTTCCGCTGGGCCGTTCCCCCCGCCCCCGCCGGCCTACCCGATCAATCTGTCTTTATTTCTTTATGAAATCTCATGAATGAGCTGCCAATGCTATGCCCTCCCCCACTTCCACCCTTTTGCCAGGCAGTTGCCAGCCCTATAAACTGAGAAGGCCATGAAACAGGTAAAGCAATAACACAGCTTCTTGGTCATGGGGAAATGCTGGGAAGGTCCCTGTTTTGCTTATTTGTCCCATTAAAAAAAATTGTAGAATGCCCTCATTTGATTGATTCTCCCGGGGTGTGTGTGTGTGTGTTGCAAAACGAAGCCAGAGAAGGCAGTGATTAACTCCGTGTAGCTAGGAAGTCACAAAACAAAGCACACTAAATGCAAGATCCAGAGGGGAAGAAAATTATGTAGATGGCGTACAGACGTTTTCCAGCGTTGAAGGTCTGGCCTTGCAAGGGGAGGATTCTGGGATTTTGTTCCAAAGACACCATTTCTGAGCTCTGCTTTGAGGCATCTCCTCGCTCTGCTTCCTTGTGCCGTCTTCTTACCAGCCGGCGGCAAGTCTCGGGGGGTCTTTTCTGCTTCCCTGGCTCCTTTCATGGTTCCTGCTCAACATTTCCCCCTCTGGCCCCAGTCCAGGGGAGCCTGCCTGGTACCAATGGGATCCTATGAATGGGTTGTTGCCATTCCTGCAAAATGAACCGTGCCATCTTCCCCCCCCCTTCAGAGACCCCTCTACCCTAACATTAAACGAGTGCCATGGCCTGGGATTTCTTAGCATCCTTCTTTCCCTCCTCTTTTTTTTGCAGCCCACGCCCCGGCTCTGTGCATCATGGACGGAGACTCCGTCCGCATCGTTCCAAAAGACGTCGCCTCCCAGTGTGACGTCCGCGTAGAGTTTTCGGTGGCCACCATCGGTTGCTTGGGGAGGTCGCCGAAGGCTTTTGGTAAGAGAAGGGAGATTTTGGCCCTTGGCTTCTGTGGCTCATCAGGACGTATCATCAGGCGTGTGTCACTGTTGGGCCAAAAGTCACTTCCAGATCAACTTTGTCATGAATTGGGAAGCATCCAAGTCCAGAAATCCTTGCAAAAAGCAGAGTATAAAAGCATCAGGTTGGGACGTGCTTTGGGGTTCCACGTGGTGGAAGATCAGGTTTCTGGCCAGCTCGCCTCTCTCATTTTTCCACTTCTTAGAGCTTGGAAAAGTGACATTTTCGGAATGACAGTTTTCTGAATTCCCCAGGGCAGGGGCATGACCAATCTCCCCGTCAGGGAATCGAACCCCGGTCTCCCGCGTGACAGGCGGTGATACTTTGCCACTATACTACTGAGGACCACTATACCATTAAAAAAACTGGTCTGCTTTTTAATTACAGCAGGACTCTTATATGTACAGGGGATTGGTTCCAAAATCGCACTTACAGATGCCAAAAAGGAAGGATAATAGAGAATCCTATCTGGAGCATGGTTTCTGGCTCCCCGTAGTGGCCATTTCTGGTAATTACATTGTGGAAAATACTATCTACACATCTTTCAAAAAAAAATTTCTCTCTCTCTCTCTCTCTCTCTCTCTCCAGCGCCCTCTGCAATCCTCATCACAGACCTTTACCTGTCTGGTATGAAGGGCATCCAGGTGATCCTGAGGGTAGAACCTCTTGCTCCCTTGACTCCGTCGCCAGCGGCTGGACCAGGAGACCCCTGGGAGAAGAGCCAGCCAGGTGAGCTGCGAGCACTGACCTTCACCCTCGCCCTGATTATCCCCAACCGGACTCAGTGCATGTGGCCAAGGGGATGATGGGACTTGCTGCCTGACAGATCTGGGGGGGAAAAGTGGATGGGGAAGTGAAGATGACAGCCCCCCCCTTACATGGAACATGGTCCCCTCCTTGCTTTTTTGTAGGGAGGGCCTCTGTGGTGGCTACTAACAAGGCTGCTGGGTTGTTTTTTTAATAGGTGAAGTTGCCCCCCATAAAGGGCCCCCAAGCCCGCCTGTTCCTTCCGAGCAAGCTCCTCGACGCCCAGGTAAGGGAGCTCCTTCTTCCACTCCTGTTTCCACACAGAGGGTTTGGTTTTGAAAGCACCACAGGTGAGACCTTGCGTGCTCCCAGAAAGGTGAGGCCGACAGCCTGCCCTGCTGGTTTTTGTGACCTGTTACCGGGTCCTCTTCTGCCCCACTTTCTCACTCTCTATTTTTTAAATACAGCATCTGCAAAGAACAGCAGCCTGATTAGGTGTCTGCAGACCCTGAGAGGAGCTCAGGAAAAAGTAGAGCCCAAGGAAAAAGGAAGCCAGATGAAACTTTCAGGGGAAGAATGGATCACAGGCAGGCAGGCAGGCAGGCAGGCAGGCAGGCAGGCAGGCAGGCAGGCAGGCAGACAGACATGGATGGATGGATGGATGGATGGATGGATGGATGGAAGGAAGGAACGAACCAACGAACAAACGAACAAACCAACGGTGAGAGGAATGACTGGTCAGAATTAAGAGGCAGCTTCTGAATTTCCTTTTGTGAGAGTGCTGTTTACGCTCCACGATCCATCATCCCATCCCTGTCCTCTTCTTTTCCTCCTCGTAGAGTCGGCGGATGCCTTCCAGGCTCAGCTGAAAAGCCACTTCAGAGACACCTGCGAATTTGTGCCGCTGGAACACGAGATCCCCCTGGACCGTCTGTATATTGACAGCGACCTGGTGCAGTGTCACCTGGAGAGCAAGAGCGGGAGGAACGCCGACCCAAGGGCCTGCGACCTCCAGGAGAAGACCGTCGTACCGCGGAGCCAGCTGTTCCACACACGGGGGAAGAACGACGGGGGCACCAAAGTTATTGTCATCTTAGGAAAGGCCGGGATGGGGAAAAGCCTTCTTGTCCAGAAGATCTGTCTGGACTGGTCCAATGACCGATTGCCAGGATTTGACTTCGTCTTCCGGTTTGATTGCCGGAAAATTAACTTTCCAGTTGAGGACCAGGACAGCCTTAAACGCCTCCTGTTTGAGGAGTTGGTCGGCCCTCGGGAAGACACGGAGGAAATCTTCCGATACCTCCTGCAGAACCCGAGAAGAGTCCTTCTCATCTTTGACGGCTTCGAGGAGCTGGAGAATCAAGACGGCTTTCCCGCCCTGGCTTCCGACAGCCCACCGCGTCGCAAGTTGTGCGGTACTGGGGCAACTTTGGCCGGCCTCTTCCAGAAGAAGGTGCTCAACGGCTGTACTTTGCTGCTCACGAGCCGGCCCAAAAACCGGCTGCATCTGTACCTCCCTAGGATGGACACGATCCTGGAAGTCGTGGGATTCTCTGCCCAGCAAGCCGAACGGTACCTTGCTGAGTATTTTCACGGATGCCCCTTTGCCGACGAGGCAGTGAATTCGGTCAGAAATTCACCCTGCTTGTTCAGCCACTGTTACCACCCCGGCTTGTGTCAGTTTATTTGCGAATCAGTGTTCAAGCTAGGGTCCAGAGACTTGCCTTTCACACTCACAGGCCTCCTCGTTAAATCTCTGCTCCGAAAGCTGGACCTTGCAACCGAGATGGGGGCTCCCTCGAATTACCCGAACCTCAACGCCTTAGCCCGGATGGCCTGGCGGCTTGGAGAAAGCCAACAGAAGGTGTTCCCGGGCCACCATTTCCCTTCCGAGAAGGTCCGGGACTTTGCGCTGGATTCCGGGCTGGTGGTGCGACTCCCCCAGGACTGCAACGGCAGAAAAGGGGAATGCGAGTATTCCTTCCCCACCTTCGTGGTCCAGCATTTCTTGCTCGCCTTGCATTTGGTGTTGGCCCGCGAAATTAAGGACAAAAGGCTGACGAAACACTTGTGCTTACTGTGCAAGTCTAAGAAGTTTCTGTCCGCCTGGAGGCTGGTGCCCCGTTTCTTGTCCGGCTTCCTGTTCCTAGAGGATGACCTCAGGTCATCCTTTCTCTTCGGAGAAGGAGGGGAGTCTGACGCCGAGAAGATGGTTTCCAAGAAGCAGAAAAGCCTCTTGAAATATATCCGGAAACTCTCCATCAAGGATTTCGGCCCGGATAAGTTGGTGGAACTCCTCCACTGCGTCCACGAGACGGGGGACCGGTATCTCTGGCAGCATGTGGCCTTGGAACTCCAGCCGGATCTCTCTTTCCAGGGTTTCCCTCTCAACCCGTCCGACATCTATGTCCTGCACTCAGTCTTGAGAAGATCCAGCAAGGCGTTCTCTCTAGATCTGAGAGGGAGCGCTCTCGATCCGGGAGGTCTCAGGCGGCTGGTCATGGAGGAAAAGGTCTCAACATTCAGGTGCGCTGGGATCTTCTCTAACCCTGGAAATCATGGGTTTAAAAATGAATTCAGTCAACTTTTCTCACACACACACCCCAGCAATGGATTTAAAATGGAATGAAACATTTGGTGGTTTCTCAGTGGGTGACGCTTCCTTGAGGGAATGGGACTGGACTCTGGTGCTCTGGATAATATTTTCAAGGTCTGGTCCTTCTTAGGATGGAAAGGAGACTTCAGGCTACTAGATTTGGGGACCACCAGGGGTGGGGGTTTGTGGCTCAGTTGGTCCAGCAGCCCAATGAGAGGGACCAGGGCTGGCTTCCAAGGTGGCCACGGGAAATGACGGCCGAGGGAAACTTGGGCAGACTTGGGGGGACTCCTTTCCTCCTCCGGCTGGCAGGCACCAGCCTTTTTTTAAAAAAAAAAGTCAAGCAGGTTCTTAAAAGTCAAGCTTTCGTGGGCCTGGTCGGCTCATCCTAAGGCAGTGGGTCGCCAACGTGTGTGGGGTGGTGTCGCTCTTTTGCAGGGCGTCCCTCGGCGACACCGTCCAGCTCTGGAAGGACCTGTGGGAATCGGAGGCCGAGGAGCAGCTGCAGGCAGCCGTCAAGAAATTTGGCGTGGTTCCCTTCAAAGCAGAGACGATGAATGATGTGGAAGACCTTCGCAGGCTTGTGCGCTTGCAGGAAGACATGACTCGAGGGTGCGTTCCTCCAAGGGACCCGGTCTGGGGGAGCACGGATCCGCGCAGTTGTCTGCAGAGCTGCAAAATGCTCCTCTCCTTTTGCACCGCAGGAATCCCGTATAGGTCAAGAAAATGCTCTTCTGGAGAGGACAGAGTGGGTTCTGGGTCAGCTGCAAAAGGTGGACAGTCTGTTTTTATACTTGAAGGAAAGGGCTAGCACCCGTTGCCCTCTTCAGCCAGAAATAGACATTAGAGACAGCCTGTCATTGGCAAAGGGGAATTCTTAACTAGTGTAAGCATCTGAGTGTCACAGCAGGAGCTTCTCTCACTTCAAAGATTACACTGTCAGGCATGGGACTACTCTGAAGTCAAATTTGCCCAAGGTAGACAGCCTCTCTGAAACTTGAATGTGCTTTCAGCTCTAATGATATGCCGTCTTTACTGTCTGTTAACAGCATACTTCTCTTTGAAAAATATCATGCACTGCTAATCTTCTTCTCTCAAATTGTTCTCATTTAGCAAGACAGACGTCACCGCCGACGGGAAGAACTCCTACATTCCAGCTGTTACCAACCTCCAGCATCTGGAATTTATGTAAGTAAGAGAGGATTGTTAAGAAGCGGTAGGTTTTGACCCTTTAAAATTTAGTTTTAATTGGATTTTCAGGCATTGACAGAGCATGGATAAGAACCTGTCCTGGGTCTGAGCAGTTTTCCAGTTAAAGTGTGCACATACATTTCTTGGTAAGAGTGAGACTCTTCAGGGTTGTTGTGCAAAACCTGACCAGTTTAGGAACAACTCGGGATGAATACCAGTTTCCTGTTCTGGAGGAAGGCCTTCCAAAGCTGACTTCCTGCCACCCATCCGTTGCCCTGATCCAAAAGGACCGTAAAGAGAGAAACCAGCTCTTGCCATATCGTTGTGCTTGGAAAAGTCCTCGGCGCAGGAGGCACTGGGCAATCCCTTCCTCTCGTTTGCCTTTCAGGCTAGGCCCTCTCTTTGGCTTCAGGGGCTTCCAGAAGTTGGCTGGGATCCTGGACGCCTTCTCAGCTCTTCGGCAGCTAGAGTGAGTGCAGTACGGCAGCTTTATGTTGCTCTCCGTATTTCAGCCAAGAGGTGTGCGGGTAGGAGAAACTCCGAATCAGGAGGCCATTTGGGGGCCTTCAGAATGGATCCAAATGGATCTGGAGAAGCGGGCGTCCCCTCCGTTTCGATCCATGGCCTTGGATTTGAATCACTTTGCACATTTTTGCACCGATAGATGGGAAATTTGGAGATGCGGTAAAGCCCAAAGAAGGGAGTTTACAGGCCAAATTTGAGACCGCTGGCTCTGGAGGTTTTCAGACCAGGAGGTATCCTTGAAGTTTGCTTTAAACAAAATAACTTAGTAGTTGGAAATAATTTGTGCCCAATCGGGTTCTGTTTATGCCCTCGATCTGCACTGATTCGTGGCTTTTGCATTGCATTGTCCTGGAACCAGACCCAGCCATTCCATTTCAATCTGGACCCCGTAGAAATTCAGGCTGAACGAGGTCCATTTAGTTCAGAAATAGGGATCTGTCCCTATCCGGTGTCCGTTCCTTGTAATCTGCTCATATGACTTTTTATGGTGTTTGAAAAATAGTTTGTTGTTCTTATGCATGATAACTCCCAATCAATGGCCATCGATATTTCTGGCTGTTTTGCAGCTTGGATTCTCCCAACGAAAACGAAATCGGAGATGAAGGAGTGGCACTCCTCAGCAAGGTCCTTCCTCGATTGACCTTACTGGAAACATTGAAGTAAGTTGCCCGCTCATAGAATCCTAGAATCCTGGGGTTGGAAGGGGCCTCGAAGCCCATTGAGTCCAACCTCCTGCTGAAGACAGCCTTGATGGGGAGCCTCCCCTCCCTTCCCCCACAGTAAAAGGGCCTCCATGGTGGAGCTACTGGCTCTTCAAATGGGCAATGGGTGGCCTTCCCAAAGCTTCTGGATCACAAATCCCATCTTCTATAACCATTGGTGCTGCTGGCTAAAGCTGACAGGGCACCAGAGACCAAGAACGATATGCCCACCCCAGGTGGCCTCCCTTCTGGGTATCCCAGCCTGTTCTGTCATGTTGTACCTTTTTCTGGGGTGACGCTTGCTCTCGAAACAGATGGCCACCAGCCGGCCAAGGGATTTGGGAAAGAAAATGATGTACCGGAAATCTGACACACCTATGGCCTTCTGGTCACCTGTATTTTATTTCCAGCTTGTCTCGGAACAAGATAACGGATGTGGGAGCGCAGACGTTAGCTCAAGCACTCCCGTTGCTGTCTCTCCTGAAGGTGCTGAGGTAGGAGCCCCCGGGGTTTTGCTCTCCCTTTCTCTGACGGAATGAAACTGCATGATTTCAAAAAACTATCAAGTACTGCTGGCATTTCCCCAGAGTGAGGTCGGTACATGGTTAAAATCTTCCTTCCTCATCTCCCTAACAAAGGCACAAGGTCTCCCCTCAAGTTAGATTGGTTTGGTTTCCTTTCCTTCCTTTTCCTGAATTATCTCCCACCTCTCTCCCACCAGTCAACTCGAAGCAGTTTGTTACAAGCGAGTGTAAATTCATACAATGAATTAGAAACGAGAAACCTTAGACATTGGAAACACAGGCCAGAAACCAGGAGGTTTATGCAGGGGTGCTCACGTAAATACTGGTGGGGGAAACTGTAGCTAATGGGGATGTGGCTGCTCACAATCCTGGTCTCGTGCCAGCTGCACGACTTAACAGGTGGTCAGGCACATGAGCAGCAATTTATCACTGGGATTTTACACAATTACACTGAACTCCGGGTGTGAATCTCCAGTAGGATTCCGGCCAGTAAATGAAACAGGCAGAACCCACGCAGGGAGAACCCTCTCCTGCAGCAGGGGGATCCAGTTGCTCAAATGACTTCTCCATTAACCGATAGGGCTCCGGTCATTTCTCTGCATCAATGTCGCCTCTACTAGCTCCGAAGCCATGCGTGTGCTCGTTTTCTTGCTGTTTCTCCAAGATATATCATCAAAAAATGCTTGACCTACAATGTGTGTCTGGGGTGGGGGGCAGAAGGGACGTGATACATTTGCAAAGGACAGGGCCTTTTTTAATGCTGCCTCCCCCAACTGTGTCATTCGGTTTGCAAGAAAAACTAGTGACACTGGCAAGGGGGTCCTCCGAGAACCTTCCCATCCACTCAAGCCCCCAAGCCCCCCCCCCGTTGCTTTGGTTTCAGCCTGCTGTGCTCTACCTAATGGCTATTATTGTTATTCTGTTATGTGGACACATTTGTGCAGGATCTGCTTCCCGCAGCTCAAACTTTTCTGTTTGTTTGGTCTCTCCCCCCCCCCCC